CATTATCACGATGCACTATTACTCGCAAAGGCAGAGGGTGCACTACCACGAAGATGACTAATTCAAATTCCGCTATTCGCTCACTACCCGGGTAAAGGCGCATTATCACGATGCACTATTACTCGCGAAGGCAGAGAGGTGGGTGCATTGCCACGAATTACTTTTAAATTCTTTTGATTATATTTTATATTAGGTCGACTGATGTGTTGCCACGAAGGTTGATGGATGCATTACGAGGTGGGTGCACTACCATGAAGATGACTAATTCAAATTCGTTTATTTACTCACTGCCCGGGTAAAGGCGCATTACCACGATGCACTATTACTCACGAAGACAGAGAGGTGGGTGCATTGCCACGAATTACTTTTAAATTCTTTTGGTTATATTTTATATTTGTATATATTAGGTTGACTGATGTGCTGCCACGAAGGTTGATGGATGCATTACGAGGTGGATGCACTACCAGGAAGATGACTAATTCAAATTCCACTATTCGCTCACTACCCGGGTAAAGGTGCATTACCATGATACACTATTACTCGCGAAGGCAGAGAGGTGGATGCATTGCCACATATTATTTTTTGAATTCTTTTGATTATATTTATATTTATATATATTAGGTTGACTGATGTACTGCCATGATGGTTGATGGATTCACTATCACGAAGGTTGATGGATGCATTACCACAAAGACCGGGTGGATATATTACCACGAAACTTGATAGATGGATGCATTATCACGGATAAAGTTCATCATGAAGGTGGATGGATGCACTATCACAAAGGTTGATGGATGCATTACCACGAAGATAGGATCAATGGATTATAATATTAAAAATAAATATTGTTTAGAATACTTTTTTTTGTGTATCAACTGTTCTTCAGTTTTACGTTTAATAAAGTCATTACTTTTGCTGTTGCTGAAGCGTGACTTACTTTGGTAGTAAATGTTAAATTTTTCTTTGTATTTTAAGTTATTCCGCTTAATATACCAATAGTTGTTGGTTTGACCGAGTATCGCTTGGCTTTGTTACGCAAGAGAATTCTGTGAAAAAAAATTTTCTGATGCATCACTCGCATTGCTAATCATTGATCAGTCACATGCAATCTAATTGCCATTTGGACAATGAAACTTTACTCTTGAAAAGCAATTGGAGAATTAGTTGCAGATAATTTATACATTCGTCAGATTGCAATACGTATAGTTAAATAACAATGAGGAATCACATTCTTTGCTTGTTTTTTTTACTATATAATAAGAATTGGATGGTGGATCTTTAATTTGCGGTGAACAGTAGTCTTTAAAAAAATATTAAAACATTTTATCTATTTACTTAATATATTTACAAAATATGTAGATGACTATAGTTAAAAATAAAGTCCAAATTTTGACCAATACTAAAACAAATAAATTAATGCGTATATTAATCGTAAATAGTGAATTTTTCACGAATCTCTAGTCGATGGAATTTCAGTTGTTACAGTGACAGCTTTGTTCGAATAATGTCGCCTATGCATGGATAATTCTCACAGGAGGTTTATCCGGTTCAAAAAAGAATTTCTGCAAGTAAAAATATGCAATTATAACGCCTGCACCTAATAAATACACTTTGTGTTTTGGGTGCGCAACAAACTAACTAATTTGTTATTGTCATTTGGTCTTTTCTTGACTTTGGACGAAGATATATTTTGGCACCTGGCCACAAATTATGAGCATCATTTGCCGCTAAAACTTTGTTCTTGCCAATATACTCTGTCACTTTCCATGCATTCACGGGCTTTCCATCTGCCCCAATATGCTGTTTAGTCGTTCGAAGTGGTAATATTCGTCGGATGCGTTCTTCCCACATGGATGGCAAAACAAAAGTCGCTTTTTTCAATTCACCCGCAAGAATTACTCTTGCCTTTGTGCCCATTTCATCCAGCAAAAATGATACGAGATCCAATAAAATGTCAAAATTAGCTGGATCACTATCCAATTCGTGAAGTCGATCGCTGATGAGTAAATTAATTAACGTGAACACCCATTGCTCGATTAATCGACATTCTCGAATTTTTTCAAACATCTCGTGAGTACTTCTTTTTTCCGGTTGGACGCCAGATACTCGTGAAAGTATCGCATCAGTTAATGGTATTAGGATGTGAATCCGGGATATCACTGCAGATTGGAAATTCCCCTCTGAAATTTCGTCACATAAGCTGCTGACCTGGGAAAGTAATTCTTCGCTTAACACAATACTTTTTTCTTCATCATTTATTGTTCTCAGCAACGCACGAAAAATATGCTCTATACCAGGTATTAGTGGCTCACGTCTTTTTAGCACAAGCATGCCATAATCTAGCATTATATGCGCAAAATCTTTACGAACGCCATCAACTAATTCTTTAATGATGCAAGCATCGAATTGTTGCTGCAACACAACTTCTTCCCAAAAGTATTTGATGATAGCTGTTTCTATGCTCGATTCATTCGCATCTGAATGTTGAGATTCAGGTCTACTCGCATCGCTCATTACTATATCTCCTTGTGCATCGGTTGTCGTTGTTTTTTCTTCAGGTGACAGAGTAGATGTATTTTTTGAAAGCATTAAACTATCCATGCATAAGCGAAATTGAATCGCGATTACATGAATGTTCCAAAAATTAATTTGTGACAAGATATATTTAAAGTATTCGAGATAAGCAAAAGATGAATGCGTAGCCAAGTGATGATGAATTGGATCTCCTTCCCCGAATGCCATCTGCATTATTTCAATCATTTTCATTTCGGCACTTTTGACAGAACTTTCCCGAGCTTGAACCACAAAAAGTTGATAAGCTATTTTAGGATAATTTGCACAAATTCGACGAAACCAAAAAGTGTTAGCCAGATCCTTGCAGAATTTTTGGATTTGTTCCACTAGAGGATTATTCAGCGGAAGTCTGGACTCAATCGTCGTCAAATTGAGAATTATGGTCGAAAGCGAGGTTAAGATATGAGAGGAAAGGGAAACACAATGTGTTTGTAGCATTTGAATATTTATCGTACATAATCCCAAATCTTCGTTCAAGTCTCCACCCTCTTGGGCAAATATTATACTCATAAGCAATGTTAAATTTTTGGTTTCGTCTATCTCTGTAGCGTTGAGAACTTCGTCAGTCAATGATTTGTTGGCAAGTCGTTCGAAATTATCAATTATTTCTGCTATTAGAGTATCGATGGACAATAAACGTCTTACAACTAATGTCTCTAAAAAGAATAAAAACCAAATAGCATTCGGTTGCTTGAAGATACCATCTTCCACCGAAACATGTTGCTCTATGCAAAATTTAAAGACCGTATCTAAACATCCATCCTTAGTTCGATCACAAATATCTCGAAGAATATCACCGAAAATTGTTATTACGTTTCGAATCACTCGAAACTCATAATAATCTTCAGCGTGTTCGCGAATAATTTCAATAGCGAAATTAAGTATGCTATAAGGACAATCATTAGCTCGATCATTACGCACCCAGGTATTGTGTGAAATTTTGCATTTGCGAGCAATATCTAATACACGAGGTTGAGAAGAATCAATGCCAATTTTATCCCAATATTTTGTAAATTGCAATGAAAGCTTGAGCCGATCTTTGAGTTCCTCAATTAATTGACCTTTTTGTACGTCTGTAAGTAGTTTATTGAAGAATTCTTTGACCTGTTGGTCTTTATTTCCTGCTGGCTCCCTTTTTGGTATTAATCCACAAAGTTGACACATATATTCTACTATATTTCGCTCAATTGATTTTTTACCTCGTAAATATTTATGTTTTGAGTGTAATGCATTAAATACTTCTTTGGCTCTATCCATAGCAGCCCAAACTATTTCATGTCGCGCAAATGTATCTATAATCACTGGGAATAAACTACTTTCGAGTGTTTTTTCCAACACCCATAATGACAAGTCGATCAACGAATTGAAATCTCGTGCATGCTCTAAAACTTGTACAATAGTAGCAAATTGTCTCGCATTTAATAAAGTAGCGCCGGGTTGCGACTTATTTCGCCAGTTTTGATCGGTTATTGGCGCCTTCTGAATAAACTCTTTTACTCTAGGTACTAACCAGTTCTGTGTTAGGAGCATTTGATTGAATCTCGTAGTGTTTTTGATAATAGCACACGTCTCTTGATCAAGTGGAAGAGATAACTCAAAATCATCGATTGGATTATCATCCACTGGTGCATCAAGATTATCGGCTCCTTCGCCAAACATTCGAGGCAATTTTGCCATTATTTTCTCGCGCAAATTCTTAAACGTCATCTCTTCATCTTTATTCTGACAACCAATGCCATATAGAACCCATTTACGTTGATTATACAGATATACTGAGGATGAATATAAAGGAAAGCACTCAACATATTTAAGATGTCGCAGTGTTCTTTCATCATTTCTGTTAGTAAGATCACCTCTTGATATCAACCGTTGAATGTATTTGTTAGGTGAGAAATGATTACATCTAATTAACTCGCTAAAAAGATGTGCGACAAATTCGTATCCTTGAATTGCACTTCCACAATCATATTCATCCAAAAATGTAAGTAATGAATCCTGAAGTAGATCTTGTCGTTCACATTTTTCATCCTCATCATTTGAAATGTCATTTCTCTTCTTCCATTTTGACAGAATTGTGCACGCTACATATGGCCTATGATCACTGACCTTAGTATTGGTCGCCGCCCAATAGCATAATGCTTGAATACGAGATGATATATCATTTTTTGCTATCGGGAAGTATATCGATTTCCCAGGAAAATATTCAGCTGCCAATTCGTCGTAATTTGTACCCCGATTTACTTTATCAAGAATAATAAAAAGCCTGTTGCGTGGCTCTTTTGATAAATTCTTTTCGAGAAGAATTAATTCCTCCTTTGAATCGGAAAAAAATTCATTTCGTCGTCGTACCTTTTCCCAAATTCGAAGAGTTTCTTCTTCTTCGATAGTACGATGTCCAGCCGACTTTGATCGATCATTCTCATCATTAAAATGACTTTCGAATATGATGTTTTGTATTACATCTTTATATGTGTACCAATGTTTTGGATTAACAAACATATCTGGCAACGTGACAAAACTTGCCCACAGAATCTTTTTCATAGTGATTACAAGTCGTTCAGTGATCGGATTAATATTATTATTGTTGTTATTGTTGGTGGTGATGGTTGTGGTGGTGGTGGTTGTGGTGGTGTTGATGGTAGTGGTGGTGGTGGTTGTGGTATTGGAAGTAACAGCATTAGCGGTAGTAGGAGCAGCATGAGAATTGCGATTTCCATCTGGGCTTTGAACAGTAGATGACGAAGTAGTAGGAGTCGGCGGCGTAGGCGAGGGCGGTAGTTGAAACTCTTTTAGTTTTTTGAGCAAATAATCAATTAACAATCGCATTAAAGTTCTAGATCCTGTATATATCGATAAGAATTCGATCACCAAAGAAAGCCACAATGCGATATAATTATGATCAGTGAAAGTTCTTATATGATCCAGAATTAATTTTAAAATACGTTGATCGGTCAATCCTTCATCATATTGAAATCTTGACAATTGTACACTATATCGCCATTCCTTAGGTTGCAAAATATGCACTTTCTGTTTCAAAAACTCGGAGCAAGTCACTGCCCAATTCTTTTTATAATTAGGTTCTTCAAGTTGCCCTACGAGCTTGATCAACTCAAGAGCCCTCATGAAATTTGGTCGTCGTTGACACAAAACCATGAGTAGTTCCTCGCCACGAAGATGAAGTGGCATACCATCTTTAATCAGATCAGCCAATTCCGGAGCATCAATTTTATCACACCAAACTTCCGTCTTACGATCATCCATCCATACACGTTTTGGTAATGGTATGACTGCGTTAAATGGCTCGATATCTTCTTCATCCTCGTATCTCTTCCTCTTTAATAAATCCAACATTGAGTCACCCATATTTTTTAACGCTAAACCTCCTTTCAAATTTGCATAAATAGTGTCATGTCGAGTTGCTGACTCGTCAGAAATTAGTGAAGTGTATGTGAAACCTTTACGTACGTTGTCTTCGGTCATTTGATCCTCATCTTGGTTTTCCCGAGGAGGATAGTAATCAGGATATCCCAAGTCACTCAAGCGGTGTAAACGAGAAAGGCCCTTTGGTGCTTGTGGCTTAAATTTTACTCTTGGCGACCTTTGCATCGTTCAATTACGCTGTTTTTCGAGTATCCTACTATCGGAATCAGTAAGCACAAATTTGCATTCGAAGGATATAATGATTTTAATTTATGTGTATAAAATTTATGCTGAAATGTCCGAGGTAGAAAGAGGTAACACCAAAATCAGAGATAATGTAGATTCTATTTGCATGACATACACAAACATTCCCTTTTTCGGACATCAAACAATGAGTTTTATTAATATTAAACGACTTTTTTTTTTGTTCATTCATTCCACGTTAATTATGATTCAATAAATATATCGATATTAAATAAATCAGTAAATATATTGAAGAAAAATGCAGTTGGAAGCGATACGGAAAGCTGCTCTTACTTTACGTCAAGGAAAAACTAATATCACTACTACACAGTTATATCAAAAACTTCATTATCCCCTTACGAGTAAAACAGCTCTTCGCATCAAGTCATATAGCATTAGTAGCATTAGCACCTTGCATTTAACTACTGCTCGAAAAGCATCAGCACTGAACATACCGAAAGCCTATCATCATACCTTTGGTAGGCCACATTCAAGAATCTCTTTTCATAAATTTAATAATAATAAAAGGTTAGAGTCGCCCAACAACGGCAAATTATCTGTACATACATGCGCCAAGTCTTTATTAGAAAAAAAATGTTAAAAATTTGTGTGTTGGGGGTTCGTAATGATTATAGTGGGGAATCTGCGCACTCTGAATCCCCCTCGGTTAATCTTTACATTATCCAGAAATGACTCTTGTAACCCATTAATATGTCCGCGATGGATACAGGCGAGATATTATGGTAAAAGCAATTTATTGACTGAACGTGATTCGCTTTGGTAATTTTGTTCATTTGAAATTAAAATTTTTGGTTCTTTAGTCGATAAAATTATCTACGTTCCTAAGATGGCCGAATCTATCTCCGAAGGTACCTTGAAGAGATGGAATAAAAGTGTGTATATCTGCTTATAAAATTTTAGCATAAAAAACGAGTTGATATAAGGAAAACCAGTAGTTATTTAAAAGATTGATTTCTTTTTGCAAGAGGTTGGAGATTTTGTAAAAGAAGATGAGGAACTAGTATCAATTGAGACGGATAAGGTTTGACTAGTTTTTTTATAAATATCTAAGAAAAGATATATAGAATAATTCTTTTCTAACTTCTATCTTTCATTCTTGACGCTAAAGGTTGATGTTCCTGTCAATTCTCCATACACGGGTAAAATAGTTGAAATATATGCTAATGAAGAAGATAACGTAGAGATTGACGGTAAACTTCTCAGATTGGAATTGGGTGATGCTCCAGCTGACGGTAAATCCAATACTAGTATTATGACTGTTATCTACGACAAGTTTTTATAATTTTGCTTAAATTCTGGTTCTACTCGGTATTATAGCTGCGCCAGAGGCACCTAAAGATACTAAAGCAGAACCTCGTGAGGAGCCTAAAGAGACTAAAGCAGAACCTCGTGAGGAGCCTAAAGAGACTAAATTGGAACCTCGTGAGGAACCTAAAAAAGAGGAACCTAAAAAAGAGGAACCACCTACGCCTCACCATGGTACCAAATAGCCTATATAATAAGTCTTTTTAATTTGACAAAAATAATTCTTATCAATAATTTTTTTATTAGCAAAAACACCTCCCGCTCCGACCCCAAAGTCCGCGCCAACACCTCAACCGACTGCTCCAACACAAGCTGCAATCTCGAAATCTCCTTATGGCGATCGTGAAGAACGTCGGGTATGTTGATAGTATATTAATTTATCGAAATAGAATCTTTTGAATAATCAATAATAATAAAAAATTAAAGGTCAAAATGAATCGAATGCGATTGAGAATCTCTGAACGGCTCAAGGAATCACAAAATACAGCCGCTTCTTTGACTACATTTAACGAAATTGACATGACGTACGTATATTATACATAGATTATAATCATAAATCAAAAATATTAATATTATCATTACACACATCTAGTAATCTTATGGATCTTCGTAATTCATACAAAGATACTATATTAAAGAAATACGGAGTGAAAATCGGATTCATGTCTGCGTTTGTAAAAGCTTCTGTATTTGCTCTTCAAGAGATACCAGTAGTCAATGCTACTATTGAAGGACCAAATGGCGGTGATACTATCGTGTATAAAGATTATGTGGATCTAAGCGTTGCTGTTGCTACTCCCAAAGGTCTTGTAACTCCCATTTTGAGAAATGCTCATGCTATGGCATCGTTTGTGGAAATTGAGAAAGCTATTGCCGAATTGGGACAAAAGGTAATATAATAAAAATTAACTTTTTATGTTAATATATATGGGTATATATTAATTGGATGTTTATTATTATATCAAAATAAAAATAAAGGCCAGAGATGGCAAACTTTCCATTGAAGATATGGCAGGTGGAACATTTACAATTTCGAATGGAGGCGTATACGGATCGTTATACGGAACTCCGATTATAAATCTGCCACAGAGTGCTATTTTGGGCATGCATGCGGTTAAAGAACGTGCTGTTGCCATCAATGGACAGGTAAAGAAAATTTAAGATAGCGTGTCCTCATATTTCAAATTCATTTCGACAATTCATAATTTTCACATTCAGGTCGAAGTACGTCCAATGATGTATATCGCTCTAACTTATGACCATCGCTTGATTGACGGGCGTGAAGCTGTTACATTCCTAAAGACAGTTAAAGAGCAAGTCGAAGATCCTCGTCGTCTGCTTTTGGGAATCTGAAATTCGCAATCGATATGATATTTATTTCTTTAATAACCTTGTTAAATTAATTAATCATTATCAGATTTATATATATGAACGATTCTTAAATTATTAAGTTTATTGTTAAACTAATAAACACAAATTTTTAACTTACAATTACAATTATTAGTACAATTACATTAATAAATAAATTAATCCAAATCAATAGAATAATAGCTTGGAAATACAAAATCTTCGTCAATTACTTTACGCAGCTGATCGACAATGAATCTTTCAATTTTGCCCACATTCTTGAGAACTATTATAAGAATTGATGTAATTAATAACAAATTAAAACATTAAAAATTTAAGCTAAAGAAATAAATACCTTGCTTTCCTTTATCGCCGACTTCTGACTCAATATGGACTTCTTTTAGTAAACTAAAAATGAATCTAGTTGAATAATATGTATTACTGTTTTTGAAAAAGTTAAAAGGTGTAATACCTTTCATTAGGATCTTTTGGTTCTAAAAAGCAAAAATTTACGCGTCGCCGAAGATAAGCAATTATTCCAGTACCTATTATCAAGAAAACATTAATACTTTCAAGGTAACATTAACGTTTCAAAGAAAATAGAGGAACAAAAGAAGCAAGAGGAAATCTTAAATGATAAAGATATGCAATCTTCGCAAAAGGCCCAAAATATATATTATCAATAAGGCAGGCTATAGCTGTTATTGTATTGTTGACTGAATTTAACATTTTCACTTTCTAACTTGTTGCCTTTTGTTGTGCAAGGATAGTGAACGATGAAATAACTTTCGCCATAATAATAATCATGAAAAGAAAGATCACCAGAAAAGTTAAACCCAGTCACCGTCAGCCGTATCGGCAAACTCATGAACATCATATTAGGATAATTCATTCGTAGCTCAGTTGACACGGTCATTCGTATATTTCCCTGATAAGACAATGAAATGTGAACTTGCGCATCAGTATCTTTTTTAAGCACAATATCTTCCTCTTCTTCCGTTCGGTGGTAGAGTTCACTGAAGCTAGGCGGTGGTTCTGGTGGTCGTTGTTGTTGCTGTTGAAGCCTCTGTTGCAAATGTTGCTGTTGCTGCTGTTGTGGAGTCGTGGATAATGGTCGATGAAAATGTCCAGGTGGTGGTGTAGTAAGAGGGAAATTAAAGTAATCTGACTGTTGCTCTGCTTCTTCATTGCCCAATAAATCTGTTTCCGAACGCGCTTCTTCAACCTCTTCGTCAGGTAAGTAAAACTCGGGAAACGGTTCTGTCACGTCAATAATTTCAATTGCTGGCGGCATTGTTCCAAAATCAAATTCTGAAATTTCAATGTCACCCATGAAAGAAGGCTTGTTGTTGGTGTTTCGAAAGTGATTGTTTAACAGGTCTTGCACGTTTTGCGCGACTTGTTGGTCTAATTTCTCCCAGGAAATATCGAAAGACATTCTGTAAACTGTAAACTTTGCAAATCTGTAAATCTTTGTAAATCTATCGCGCCCAATGAATCATCTACAAGAACAACTCCAAAAATGTTGGACACGTTCATTATAATAGCAATGGCGAGCGTCTGTTCCATGTGTACTCGAAGTCAATTTCAAAAAAGACTCTGCAATCCTCGTTATTCCATTTATTCATTCTTTATTAATCCTTCTAAATTCTTCTTTAGTAACTGCGCGATTATCTACAATTTACATTATCAAAAATCTAATAATGCACTTTGTCAATTTTTCAGTAAAAATCACCACATAGCAACTGGCTCGAGAAGTCAAATTCTACAACAAGAACCTTTTAATTTATTTTCTGGCTTGCATAATATAGCACCTGTATTTTACTTGAGGGGAGAGCAAATCGTAATATTGGATAATCCTAAGGAATTTTATGAGGAGCTGAAGGTTAATTTCGTTTTTTGCGTTTTGTGAGGCTAACATAATTGGTCTCGAATACAGACTAAATAAAATTAGAATTATTAATGATATAGAGTCGAATACTATCTGCCAAAAGACGCATATTCCTGGCGGCTCTTTACATTGGGCCCACTGAAAAAGAATTGGTAGGATTTCCATGTAAAAAAAACTCTGGGTGTGGAATACCAACGGTATATCTACATTAAGGGAAACAAATTGATTCTGGTATTCTTTCCTTACTAGCTTTTCATTGGTCTACGATCTCGCCATTTAAAAGGTCAACACAATCAGAGAGGCTCTTAAGAAATCATCTCAACTAAATGTTCATATCCTAGTCGATTATTTACGTTCGACGCGTGTTGAACTGCAGGGTGACGGTGAATCTTCAGTGACACTTTTATCACCATTGGTTGAAGAATTTCCCGATCAAGTGACCGTTTCATTGTATCATACGCCTAATCTCACCGGAATTTTAAAGCAAGTCATGCCGTCGAGAATCAATGAAGGAATCGGTTTGATGCATATTAAAGCATTTGGTTTTGATGATGATCTCATATTGAGTGGGTAAGTGTTGTATTTGTATTGTGCAATTTGATTTTTTTTTCACATCTCTTACAATCTTTTTCTAGGGCCAATCTAAGCCATGATTATTTTACGAATCGACAAGATAGATACATGATTGTTAAAAGCGTGCCTGCTATCACTGATTATTTCGCTGAACTTTTACAAACAATCGGAAAATTCTCATACACTTTGTCATTGAATACAATTCAAAACAAATTTAATATCAACTGTTTCGATGTTCCTGATCCAATCACCAATAGCAAAGTTTTCAAAAAACGCAGCTCGTATATGATGAAAGAGTTCATAAATAAATGGATTGATTTCACAAGAAAACACCAAAATGAAATTGACACGGAATTCGACACGATTATCTTTCCGGTAACTCAAATGGCTCCATTGAACATCCGACAAGATGAACGGGCGACTCTCTGCGTATTAGACTCGATCGAGAAAAATGGGCGACAAAAAATGAATGAAAACGATTTATGGACCGTGATTTTTTCTTCTGGGTATTTTAATTTCAGCAAAAGATATAAAGAAAAGATTTTGGATACTAATGCAAAATTTCGATTGTTGGCTGCAGCGCCAGAGGTGATTATTTTATCCTTAGATTGAATTATATTATTAATAATTTAATAATTGCACCTTTTTATCAGGCCAATGGATTTTTCCGCTCAAAAGGAATTTCAAAATATATCCCGCCCGCATATACTTTATTTGAAAAACAATTTTATGATGAAGTTCGCCAACGTGGCAAAGAGGATATAATAAAGATCATGGAGTATAATCGTCCGGCGTGGACATTCCACGCTAAAGGTATTAAATACTCTCTGAGCTCTATACATTCATTCCCTTGATTTTATTGTATTCGATATTTTCAAAATCAACAAATTACGCGTTTATGAAAAGGCTTATGGTGCTATACTAATGGAGAAACACGTCCAAGTCTCACAATGATTGGGTCACCAAATTATGGGTATAGATCCACTGAGCGAGATCTTGAAGCGGAAATTATTATTATAACTAAAAATGCTTCATTGAAAGAAGATTTGCATCGGGTAAATTATTTTTTTTGGTGCATAACAACAGTTTTTTTATTAATATCTTTTTTTTAATTTCTAGGAATCTTCACGACTTTCCGAACACACAGAAGCAGTTAATGCAGAAACGTTCCAAAGGCCTGAAAGAAAAGTTCCATATCTCATTAGAGTTGCCACTTCTATTATTAAGACTATGTTGTGATATTTATTAATTTGTAATGGGTAAATTTTCAAGTTATAATGCATAAAACAGGAGGACCCGAAGTGTACAGCTATTTTCTATTTTAACATTATCTACCTGAAATCATAAAATGCGCCACTTTTTTTAAAGTACCCCTATTCTATATGTAAAGTACGCCCTCAAATAATTTTATTCATGTGATTTTATGGTCTGATTTTTCAAACCACAACAATTACCCGCAGGGTTATAAAGATATTTTTACACAAGAACTCAGTAAACTTGGGTGTAATCAAGATGTTGTCATGATCAGGCTTCTGGTAGGTGTTATCGTGATATAGATGTTCAACCAATGTCTAATAACAGTAATTTTACAGTTACTCGATCTTGTCGTAATTAGTATACTTCAGGATCATCATGCAGTGCGTTTTCTTCTATCTTATAGATAGGCTCTCACTATTACTAATAGATGTTATGTCTACTTAATATGGGACAATCCTATAGCAATACAGTACTGATATTCTATAGCAACTTTGGCAGTTATCCAATAGTGCGCAATAAATGCAAGTATTTTAATAAGTTCATCGGAAATTTAAAATACTAGCAGAATTGTGGTAAACTTCGAACCTGGTGACGAAAGGTGAAGAAAAAATATTCAGTTTAAAGAAATGCAAATATTTCCGCATGCAGTGGACCAAATTGAATGAATTTGGTACCAT